CGTGCTGCGCATACTTACCCGTTCTTGAGCAATCACGATCCAAAAAGTGTCCACACTTATATGGTAGGCCACTGTAGATTCATTAAAATAACTCCGCTAGTTTTCAACTTCTTACAGGTTTTATCAAAATTGATAATGTCGAATACTCGCAATCGCTTGGTTGCCTTGTTCTCTTCTTCAAATCCGATCATGTTCATCTTAATACAGAAAAAGCACATAATTATAACACTAATTGAATCCTTCAAAACGAACAGATACTTCTTTTCTTCGGTATCCTTTATTAAGTCGATTAATAAATCGTAATCATCGTCGATCTCGAACCACCTTGTTACGATCTCTTTGAACTCGTTATGAATTTCAAAATTAGGTTTATTCTGCGAAAAAAAAAATAACAAAAGTTAATACCTCGTGTCTTCATCATGCTCACCCACTCCCTCAACACTAGCTGAGAGCAAGTACAAAGAGGTCTATATGGGCGACTTCCACAAGGTTCAACACCTAAATGGGCTCACTCAACCGCAGCGTAACTTACACCTTCCGTGCATTCAACAAAAAGTATTAAGCAAGCTCAAGACTTGAACTTACCACGTCCGTCTCGATCCTTTTCAATCATCTTTTGTAATCAATAAACTCTTTCGTTTCATCCTCTATATTTTTATCTTAAGATTGATAAACTTGATTCTTATTACAGTCACATACCTTTATACCGGATTTACTTATTTGTGCGAGTAATACAAACACAAAAAAGGAAATTCAACGTAAAAATAAACAAGTTCGTGAAAATAAAAATTTAGGGTTAGAACGCTAAAGCTAGATGCTATAGAATTAAACGTTTATCTTTCATATGTAAAATTTCATTTCGTCACTTTTAATTAGTGACCAAAGACAGGTTTAAACACTCAGTTTCTTGTATTTTCGCTTTTTTCGTTTTTTTTTTCGTGTTTTACTTCGCTTTGCTCACGTGTCGGGCTGATCTGGGATAATCACATTTTACGTTCTCCGATTGGCTAATTTCCCTTTTTGGATTTTATCACTCGCACAAATAAGTGCACGCGCTTTAGACGACCCCCTAATTTGGGTAAACAACATACATCACTTATAAGCGTGACATGTTGATCAACTGTAACGTATGTTTGTTTTGACTATCATGTTACACCTGATCCTGAAATTCGATTGGTCGTTATTACAAGGGGTGGAAAAAATTTTGTGGGACAGCTACTACGTATGTTTAATGCATACGGCTGAAACCTAAAATAAGTCGCTACTTAATTTAGCTTATCTCCAATGCGCTACGTAGTCGTTTTTTTTGTTCTAGATATATTACCACTTTAAGCAATTTACCGATAATCTATAACTCATCATTTCTTTCTCTCTCATACCTTTTACGTATAACCCTACATTAATGTCTTTTACATTTGGACGCGTTTATAATGGAACTTCTACAACTGGATGCGTTTATAATGAAACTTCTACAACTGAACGCGTTTATAATGAAAAATATCCTGGTTATAAAAGACTTAATGATTATTTAAAGCAATACAAAGACAAATCTTTTAGGAGTTTTTTATTTCATTGTCGAGACATGATCATTGATACTACTCCGGCTACTTCAAACTGGATAGATCTTAACAATGCATGGAAAGTACATTTCATGACTGAAGCTCAAACAATAATGAACCCAAAAGATTTTAAAATTTTAAGAGATAAGGTGTGTTGTTTTTGTTTTACAAAGTTAGAGTAACTTCTAAGAGATCGAGTGTTTGATTAGAGGAAGTACCGGGTATGACAAACTTGGTAACCACTCCATAGTTCTCTATTCGGGTACCCTAACTTTGTTAACTCTTTGCTCTTTGTTGTTGGTAAAGATAACTGATTCTGAGAGGAACCAGTTATGTATGTTTCTTTATCACTAAATAAAAATTATACACTGCTAACAAATGCTTTTTTATAACAGTTCAGTTCAGATCAAGAACGTAATGCAAAAAATTTAGAGGATTATTGGAATAAAGTTATTCATGAATGTAACATAGTGAGTAAAATCACACTTATTTTGAATTGATATAGTATGAGCTTTAATACTATTTTTTCTTATTCTTCCGAAACTAGAAATATGACATTTTAGAATACAAACGAGAGAAAGAGCATGTTATCCGTGTACTATCTGAAATAGAAGAAAAAATCAAAATGAAAGAAAATGATCTTATTAAGAGCTCAAATGAATGGAAAACGCTTATTAAAAATGGAGGTTGTAACATTATTCTGTAATTAATGAAGATTTTAGACATGCTAACAGAGTACGATTCTTCAAATCATTTTTTAGAGGATTCTAATGATAATGCCGATGGTGATGATGGTTATAATCTTAATGATAATAATGATCTTTGTGATCGTAACAATATTGGTGATAATAATGATCGTAATGAACTTGGTGATAATAATGATCGTAATGAACTTGGTTATAATAATGATCGTAATGATCTTAGTGATAATAATGATCGTAATGATCTTAGTGATAATAATGATCGTAATGATCTTGGTGATAATAATGATCGTAATGATCTTGGTGATAATAATGATCGTAATGATCTTGGTGATAATAATGATCATAATGATCTTGGTGATAATAATGATCGTAATGATCTTGGTGATAATAATGATCGTAATGATCTTGGTGATAATAATGATCATAATGATCTTGGCGATAATAATGATCTTAATGATCTTGGTGATAATAATTATCATAATGATCTTGGTGATAACAATAATATCGTTGATAATAACGATTTCGGTGATAATAATGGTCTTGATGACAATAATGTCAATGGTAATGCTTCAAAAGTTTATCCTATTGCCACAGCGAATGAATCAACAGTGTCATCATTAACAAATTCAATTAATAATTTTGAAGAAAATATAGATCCACGATTACCACCACCAGATACATCAACAACTGTAACACCACTACCAGATACAGCAACAATAATGTCATCATCTCAAACACCAAGACATAAGCTCCGCAAAAGGAAACGTGTACAAGCTAACGATCTTGGCGTTAATAATAATCATGATGAAAATGGTAATGCCTTAACTGTTCATCCTAATGTCACAGCGAATGAATCAACACCACCACCAGATATAGCAACAACAACGATGGTAACAATGTCGTCGTCATCTCAAACACAAAGATACAATCTTCGCAAAAGGAAACGTGTGGACTCATCATCGTCATCACAAGCACAAGCACAAACATATGATTTTCGAAAAAGGGAATATGTGAGCTATAATTGTGGTCGTGTAACAAAAAAAAACAGAAAAAATAAATCATCATCACGATCACAACCACCATCACCGTCACCGTCACAATTAAATTGTATTGGATGCCCTATACATTGCATATAATTACATCAGACTAGAATTGTAAATAAAATTTATAAAATAAAGCATTTAACGTAGTAATAATTTTCACAATATCCGATAGATATGTATACGAGTTTCTTTTGCATGTGCATCTCAGGATTTATTTTAATGTGTTAATATGATGAGCGACGGTCCGAAATTTTAACATTTGATCATGTGATTTTTTGGTCTACAGAAACCCCTCTAGTTCGGCGCCAATTAGATTGAAGGATCAGGTGTAACATGAAAATTACGCCTTTTTGTTTTTTTTTACAAAAATCGAAATTTTGTTTATAAAACTGCTTTCTGTGTTCTAACAAAAAAAATTCCTTGCGAAATTTTGGTATAACCTATGCCCATCCCTTGAC